TTTCGGGCAAATATTGAGCTTCAACTTGATATTAATTAACCTTATGTGAAACAGCTATTTAGGATTTATGATAGATGATATTTAAAAAGTAAAAGTTTTTTTAAGTTACAAAATGTTTACATAAAAATTGTTTATGTGACTTCAATTAAGGAAAAAAATTAAGATCTCGAATGGAATTACTTCAAAATTACCGGATTATATGTGCTATAAAAATGAGCCATTTATCGTTCTGGAAAGTTGCATAGCGTGCTCTCAGTTTGAGCAAAGTGCTATAAAAGCAGGTGGTTCATTTATTTATTGAATTGTTTTTTGTTTAAATGGCATATCTTATGAAAGCAGTATAATTATCTCTTTGTACGTTCCTGGGGTCTCCTATTGTCCAGTACTTTTTTTTTTCGTACTCCCCACTTTATTAAAATTTGGTAATATCTAAATACTTTAAGTTTTAACCTCTACCTCTTTAATGGGTCCGTAACGTAGAAAAGATAAATTCAGAAGAGATAGTCCTAGAAGTACTTTTATGAGAGATGTTTTATCCTTTAGATGAATTGATACGCTTTATTAAAAATGAATGATATTTTGCAAAATTTCGTGATCTTTTTCAGCTTATTGCTTTGAAACCGGGTATTACGATAAAGTGAACTGTACACAAAGTAAACGGCTTGGTTTGAAGCCATGTTTTGGAAAAACAAATCGGTCTACCCAGTTTAATTTATTCGCAGTATTATGTGCTTCCTGTTTTGTTGCTAGCTATGGCCTAGTGAATTGGAGGCAAAATGTGCTTCGCAGACAAGGCTTTATAAGGGTGCAGAATCAATTTAATTAATTTTGTTGCTTTCTGGTATTAGCGCTGCTTTGTGTTAGACATTATGAGTCATTAAAAAAGCAGTCAGGTACTAATTGCTGAATTAATCTCTTAGTGATTGTATGTATAACGGATAAGATGTAAAATACGAAGTTAACTAACAGCAATTACATAAGGCATAGAAGTGTGACCTTTATTAAACAGTGCATTTATTTCATGTGTTAAGCGAGATGTAAGTGAAAATAATGGTGAGTGTAGGAAGAGGTTCCTATTTCTGTTTTCATTGTGAATAAAAGTGATTAATTGTTTTTTGTCACTAAAGCATATAAGTGATGACGAAGTGTGCTTATAGAAATAATTGTAGTTCCTTAGTTTTGCAATTTATTAAAACTATTTTATATGCCTAATGAAACTTGCATTCGTAACATAGTTTTTTGTGAACAAAGTTGTCTTCTTGTGAGATGAAAAGTCTAGCTTTATCCAGAAAAAGGAATTAATTTTATGTGTAAATAAAACGGATCTTAAAAGCTTTAATTTATTGATTCTTCAGGAGTGTTATGCATATTTTTCTTCATTATTTACATAATCCTAGTTTTTAGTATGGATGTGTTCAGTTACTCCTTGTAGCTGTTCATCTGGTGATTGAATCTTTATTGAAAGAAGGAAACCGATAGAGGAAAAGTTGCTCGCTTTCTTTATTTTAATTTCATAGAAAAGTTAAAAGCACTGCTTTTTTCATTCTTTTTATAAATCAAGACTACTGTCTCCTTCCCTACCTTCCTATGCTCAACCTCAACCACTCATTTTCTTAGTCTTGTTTACTACTCTTCGACAACTTTGTTATTTAATGTTTATTCCCATTTCTGCTGTTGGGATTCTTGTTAAAATTTTTTCACAAATATAGCAGATAGTTATAAATTAATTTAAATGAAAAAAGAAAGGAATTAATTAATACAAACATAATAATTCAAACTTTGATTATGGAAAGATTAGATTCAGATACCATAGTTTTGTTCTGGCAAGTTTGCAGCAATTTATAAAATATAAAAGCACATCTTATCTTACCACTTCCATTCTTGTATGAAATGAAATTTTGCATTTTGAGAACACTGATTGAAAATTTGTGATTGTCTCATCAGATATATCGGAAAAGATTACTTTCCTCTTTCACCCTAAACTTCAAATAGATTAAAACTTCACTAGATTAAAGACATAATTAAATTCAAATGAAAACATAAGCTGGTAGAATTCACGAGAAGTGAGCTGCTCGGATTCGACGTACGCAAAAATTTGTCAGTTAGATGAACTTACGCGACAAATCAATGTCAAACAAAGATTAACTAAACTAGGTGTTCCAGTTCGGCTGAATAGAATTAATCAAGAAATAATCATAACGCATAAAGTTTTCAAAAATAAAACGACAAAAAAAAAAAAAAAAAACTTTGAAATGCCATCGTGAAGCTAATTTGTTAAAAATTAAAGAAGAAAATATGCACAGAGAAGAGGAATGTCATCATTTAACTTTTATTTTGAATAAAATTTTGTCACAACTAGAAAAGACTTAATTTATAAATGTGTCACTCTTCCGTAATTCCTGATCGATTCAGGAAACACAATGTTTGATAGTTATTATTTGCACCACAATATATTCAAATAATTTTGCTTCTTCAATTAATAACTCTAAATGAAAAAAAAAAATGTTTGTTTATCCAATAATATCTGTACAACAAGTAGTAAATAAGTCGTATAATAAAGCAAAAGTTTAACTTTTTGTGCAAATTTTTATTTAATTTCAGTTTATTCAATTTTTGAGAATTAATAAATGCAAAATTTTTTCTTAATTAATGCGAATAAATTTGCTTTCCTGTGAGTTCTGATGTGATATACTTGTTGAAAACTAATTAACTTTTAATTATTAATTAACTTTTAATTATTAATTATTATTTTATTATTATTGATTTTCCATTTACTAGCAAGATTGTTTATCATCAACATTGATCGTTGTGATTGATAATTTAACAATAATCTGATTAAGTGTTCAAAGTTATCTTAAAAGATTTATTTAACAATCATTTTCAGTACAAATTATTAATATTAGGTTGTTGTTTTAGAGTGATGTGACATGAGACATTTGTTTATTTAATTGTAAATGTCAACTTGTCACATTTGTTATGATTTTTAGTCTCGATATTGATTGAATCATTAATGATAAAACAGAGAGAAAAGTTAATCGATGAATTCTAATATCTAATTGATCTTTATTGATCACAAAATTGAATAAGTTTAAATCAAAATAATATTAATCAGTTTACTTACTGGAAGTATACGTTACTTTCAGTTCATTTACGTGTGTCACGTGTCCGCGATTTAGGACGTGGAAGAGGAATTGAGTACACTTCATGATGCTATATTGAAATTATTATCATTTCAGTATACTAAACGCTAAGTTGGGTAAGCAACTTCTGGTAAGTGCGATCCGTTAAAGCAGTTTTCCGGATGGGAACGATCTGTCACACAGGAAAAGATTGTGTTGAATTTTTAGAGATTAGATGCTGAAGAAGTAAATGCTAGTTGACATGAAGCAATTCTTGTTAAATCATTGTAATTGATGATTATACGACTCGATATGAAGATGAAAGAGCAGAAGCACTGACTTTTCGGCAGTAAAGTGAGTACCTTTACTATCCAAGTACCTTTATTATCAAACTTATCTCTAAAAAATCAAACCGGTAAGTTGTTTTGTTAACCGGAACAAACGAAAGAATAAAACCGAAAAGAGATGAGAAAAAAAAAAAAAACTTCTGAGAAAATACTTAAAAAACATTACTCTGCGAGATGACATCGACCTGATTTTGGATTTTTGATTCATTGAACAGGTATTTTTCGATTTGAATTGATGTGATTTGGGTTAGAGCGGAATTTAAACTAAACAATCAATAAAATGAATTAAACAATTTAGTTCATTAGTGATGTCACACAGTAAGATGTGACATAAAAAGGAAAAAAAAAGTGTATATAATAAAAGGGATCTTTCCATAAATGATTTGCTATTATTTGTGAACTAAAAAATTATTTTGCAGAAGCTTCCGGAACAGTTCCGGAAGCTTCTGCCAATGGTATCTCAACCAGTATGAGCATCTGAATATGACTCATGGATGTCCCTTGAAAGTGTACATCAATTTGTCGTGAAACTCGAGATAATTCTCGAGATAAATCACTCGAATATTCAAATAACTTATAAAGTATATCAAATAAAATTGCACAAATCCATAATCTGTCTTAACTGAACATTCTTTAAAGAAATACAAAACTATTTAAAATTGCATAAATCTCATCTAAGTAATCATTATTCCATCATTTACCTTCTCAATTTAGCTGAGCTTATCTGCCTAGAAATTTCTAGAAATTTTCAAACTGTTAACAAAAACTCTGTTCAATTGTTTAATATGCTTTCTAGGCTAATAGTCATCCTTATGAGATGAGAAACTGACTCTCATATATACGTTTGTTTCAAATCAATGCCCACTATTTGCCTCAGGGATTTAACCCTTGTCTTGGGTAAGTTCTTTGTACCAACTACTACTACTATCTTGCACTCATTTAATTCAGTTCATTTATTATTGCTATAGACTAATACCTATACTGCTAACAAATAAAATCATTACAACAGACCTTTCTTCCACTCAACACATTCGTTAATAAACAATTAAAGCTGTTGAATGACTAATTTGAAAGTCTACGAAAATCCAATTTGACTCTAAACTCCAACAATTAAACACTTCAAATTTCACAACATAAAAACTTTTGTAATATTGCATTAAATTTATAAATATAATATATAACTTAAACCAGAATGCCTGTACCATGTGGTGGGTATGCCCATAATTTACAGTTTGGGTAGAGAGAATGGCAGCCGTAAAGTCAGCTTTATTGAACTTTCGGCCATTCTGAATTCCTATTGACAACACATATGATGCATCATCGTTTAAATTTATGATACCAAGATAGAAGCCATGGTTTGGAATTAAATTTGGTATTTTTATTATGAAAAAGAAATTCTACAAGTGTATCTGATTTCTATGTGTTGCTATTTGTTCATTTCAGAGACTTATGCCGAAATAAACCAACAAACAAACAAATAAATAAGTAAGCAACAAAATAGAGGATAAGGAAAAAAATGAACTTTGGAGAAGGATTAGAAGAAATCAGTCATGAATGGCCTAAATTGAAGATCATATGGTGATAATTTGAACCAGGTATACGAGATTAGTGATAAGGTAGGATCATACGGTGATGACTTGAACCAGGTATACGAGATTAGTCGTAAGGTAGGATCATATGGTGATGACTTGAACCAGGTATACGAAATTAGTGATGAGGTAGGATCATATGGTGATAACTTGAACCAGGTATACGAGATTAGTGATAAGGTAGGATCATATGGTGATAACTTGAACCAGGTATACGAGATTAGTGATAAGGTAGGATCATATAGTGATAACTTGAACCAGGTATACGAGATTAGTGATAAGGTAGAAATTATCACCGATAGAAAAAATGGCATCACGAAAAATTAACAAGGAAAGTGAATTTAATTGTCTGTTCATACATTTTTTTTTTTTGTTTTTTTTTTATTTTAATTGCTAAAAGAAAATATTTGTAGCTGCAATTTACCTGTGTAAAAAAAAAGGAAATAATCACATATCATAGAGAAATTCTTTATAAAAAAATTTGTTATCGTAAATGAATCGATCAGCAGTAGTTTGTTTTCCTTTAATCGATTCCGATTGCAAGATGAAATAGATTTTATTTTGAAGCAAATTGAGCTTAAATTTTATCTCAGCTTTTTAACTCAGTAAATTTGCATAATTCAATTTGCAGTGATCAAAAAAATTTTTAGAAACATTCGAATTTTCTGCTGTTGTAAATTCTTTTGCTGTTTTTAAAAACGAATAATAAACATAAACAAACAATGATGAAAAATTTCTCTATGCTAAAAAAAGTTTTTCTTCTGAACACAAAAATTTTTTCATCAATTCAAAATTCAAAACAAATTCTTTCCTAGCAATAAAAATTTAGTATTATTTTCTGACTGCTATAACAATCATCTATGATAAACATAATGATAATTATCATTATCATTATTCTGCTATAATCAGATCAAGTTTCTCTGATAGCGTTGGATCAATTTGTTGAAGCCATTCGCTTACATTCATCGTTCTCGACATCTCGTTGATCGTTTGCTTTACCAGATCAATATATTTTTTTTTTGCTTCATCTGATGACATTTCACCTAATTTTTTCCATGCCTCCCTGCAAATTAGTAAATTGAAGTAGAAGTCAAAGACTATTTAAAGTTTCCCACTACTCAAACTCTCGAAATTCGATACAGTTTTGAGGAAATTTTCAAAGTTTTCTCTTATTCTTGCTTCCTCTGATAACTTTTCAATATTTTAATTAAAAAAAAAAAAAAAAGAAAATTGATAGAAACCATTTTGCTTTCTGCAGGAAATGCAAGAAATTTGGTTGTGCATTCTTATTTTTACCCTCTGTTGCTTGCTTGTACAGAGAATAAAACATAAGTTTTTCATCATTTGTTGGTACCATTGGACCTACAACATTTTTCAATTAATCATTTTTCCATTTCATCAGACTTTTTTCAATCATAGCTAATTGTAGGCCTAAGATTTGCTCATAATTGTCACGTGAACATAACATGTCACGTGGTCACGTCAAATAAGTATTTCCTACTAAACGTACCCAAACGTTTACGATCAATGAAATTCACAAATGAAACTTTTCATTTAGTAAAGTCATTCAGTTAGAGTATGAGTACTAATAATTTAGATCATTTTGTTATTACCACCAAATTCGATATCAATTTACACATTTACTCAAATAGCATTTCCATTTCTAAATGAGTTCAAACCATTTTGTTTTTTTTTTTTTTTTTTTTTGGGTCTCAAACTTAAAACTTAGAAATGTGTCCTAATTGAATGTTTGTAACTGTTCGTTAAATTCAAAAATAGTTTTGAAGAGAAATTTATTGATTGAAACAGATAATTCATAAGTTTTTTTTTTTTTCAAAGTTAATAAATCTCAGTTCTTTGTTGAATTATTTTATTATAAAATAAGCCTTAGACTTTAACAGTAATAACTTTTTACTCATTAATAAATCTCAGTTCTTTGTTAAATTATTTTATTATAAAATAAGCCTTAGACTTTAACAGTAATAACTTTTTACTCATTAATAAATCTCAGTTCTTTGTTAAATTATTTTATTATAAAATAAGCCTTAGACTTTAACAGTAATAACTTTTTACTTACGTCAAACTATAATACTAGCAATCGAAAGAGATAAAATCTTTACCAGTTTTTGGCATTTTCTGGACAATACTTACAGCAGCCTGGAATTTCTCTTCCATTGAAAATATTCTGCAAGCACTTCTCTTTGCCAAATAACCTTATCTCAAAAGATTCTCATTCTCGTCATAGCAATTTCAATTTGAAATATTCTCGACACTACTCTTCAATCAGACTATTTTGTGATAGCTACGATCATAAGAATGATAAAAGTGATTGCTGATAAGAATATATTCTGTATATGAACACTAGGAAAAGATCGAACATATGAAATGCTTTGATCCATAAAGAGATCACTGATTGCTTATTTCTGCACTGATCACTGATTAGCATCGAGAAATGTCAGTTTTAGTTAGGATGTCTGATCTGTTTACAAAGCCATTGTCACTTCTCGTCCAACTAATTTCAGTAAACCCATGTATGCTTACTACTAAAAAATAAACAACAAAGTGTGAAGACATCCAATCAGTAAACACCTGTTCACCTGTATTCACGTTGCTCATACGTGAAACGTGCAAAATATGCAACGCGGAACACAATTTGTAGACGAACAGTAGTTCCATTCACTAAATTTCAGATGGCACATTTAAAAAATGGTCATGAAAGAAATTTGGTTAAAAGTGGGGCAAAAATTAAGTGAATTATAATATACGGAGAGAGAGAGAGAGAGAGGGAGAGAGAGAGGGAGAGAGAGAGGGAGAGGGATATTACAAAGAATTATTGAGAGCAATTAATAGAGTTCGGGATTTATCATCAAGAATGAGGGTGAGAATAGAAAAGGAGTAGTGATAACTGGAAATGATAACACTGAAAGTTATACTCTTATCAAATTTCTCTTTAGCTTATCATAGACAAATAACTTTTCAGGCAATGCCACTTCATCTTTTGCCCTTTTCGACAATCGTCAAACGATGACACACATTGAGGGATTTTAAAATTGTTTGCAAAATAAATTTTTTTTTGGCTAATAAAGCAACAAATTATTGCCAAAAATACGTCAGTATTTGTCCTATTAAGAATGACCTTTGAACTGTAAATAATTTGTACATTACAGATTAATACATATTAAAATAATTTTTGAACAAAATTCCTTGCTAGAGCATTATTTACACTTATTACTTGTCACTTATTCATAATTTATGTGTCTCATAGACTAATAGTGCAGACCTTGGCCATATGTTTTATTTTGAGAAGACCTTGGCCATATGTTTTATTTTGAGAAGCCAAAGCAATTCAAGGCTCATTTTAGAATCCATTTTGCAATACTGTTCAATGCATTGTTTTGCTCGTAAGCATTTTGCTTGCAATTGAGGTTTTGGAGTATAACTGTTTGCATTGTTGGATTTAGAAAAGTTCACAAATCCAAAATGGATAACGTCTTAGGACATTTGCGCATCTCCATTAATAGTTGCGCCGGTTCCTTCACTGTCGTTGTTTTCCTTCACTGTTCTGACTACTAGCACTACTATTAGAGTTCGAAACTTCGTAACTATTTGGCTTCGATACTATTTGGCTGATAATCTGCTATTTTATGATATCAATTAATTTGTCATTTTTTTTTAATAATACAGTAATATACTGATTCCAGTTTATATTTTGAATTTCCCGAAGTATTTTAACCTGTTCAAATTTCACTTTTTGTTGCATTTTGTTTGTTTACACTTATTTTGTTGTGCGAAAATTCTTATACAATCAAAAAACCGATTATAATGAAATCAATTATCGGTTTATGCAATTTCACAAGAGTTACCATTACTGACAGACCACCACCTGCTATCAGTTAATAATTTCTATTTGAATGAAATTCTCTACCTATACCTGGTCCAGGGTTCACCTCATATCCCTTGGTTCTTCTCTTCTACTTTTAAATAGTCTAATTATCTCTTTTACCTTTACCAGCGATAATTCTCAAATACTTCCACTGCAATCATTTATTTCTCCAATTTAGCAGTCGTCAGTTAAACTCACATTTCTGTATGGTCTCGAAACCGGAATGAACATCCTTTCCGTATTTACGTTAGTTTAATTATGCAATGACCCTATTCTCTTTTCCAGTGATACATTCCGGTTTTTAAGCCAATATAACGGATGGATCTCACTCAGAGGATCTTATAGAATCTTCTACGATTGTCTAAAGAAGGCTTTGTACAAATTACATCAAAATAATAATTAGAAAATGGCGCTTATGTCACAACTACCACTAGTAACTCAATACTTCATTAATGAACAAACCGCCCTGAGACTTCAGTTTTGCAAATCGCTCCCTGGTAATTCACGGCAGCAAGAGAATACCGCGTAATTCAGGTGAATTTCAGTATTCGGTTGTCTCCTTGGCTTGGCTGTCACTATATTGTTAGTGTGATGTCAGTGTTTGTCTGTTTGGATTTCAACAAGTATTTCCTAACGATCAATGTGATATTCCAGCGTTAAGTGTAAGTTACATTTTCTTAAGAATATAAATTTTTTCTTTTTTTAGCTTTTCAAATTTAAAATCTGCAGTTTGTAGTGTGATAAAAGCAAAGAAAGCAAAGGTTGTAATGCTTTTGTTAATTTCGACAAATATTCTTATTATTTAGTTGTCAGTTTATTCACTTTTTTTTCTGGTAACAACATTGATTTACGTAGATTTTGAAGTAGGACTAAAAGTATGAAACGATATAGTCCGGGTCGTTCGATATTTCGAAAGCGAAATCAGCAGGAAAACTTATATCCAAAACTGGAACAATTTAGTACTGATAGTGATGATAGTAACGATGGTAATGTGTAAGTTATTGATTGCATTTGACATTGCATTTATTTCAATTTCAAACTTGACACGATGGCTTTGAATTTCAACCTGTTTAATGCTTGAATCTGGTTGTTATTAATTTAATTCCGTAGAGGTGTAGAAACATAACTCATTTCATTTGTGGGACATGGTTCAGGACACTAGGATAGTTGTCTGTTTCAGAAAAGAGGGCTTTGTTTCTTGTCCCAAGCCTTTTTTGCTAGCAGTGACAAACAGTTTCCATAAATGAGCTGACAGAGTCAGATGGCGGTTTCTTTTTTCAGTATTCAGTTTAGAAACTTGCTTGTTGCTGTCTCTATTTTTCTTTCTTCAACGAATTTCACTCTGTTTAGATCTTATGAGTCAGACCATGGAGAAGATGATTCCGCTAAAAAGTTGCCAATGCTGACTGTATTGGAATGGATTTGGAATCTGTTTCGGCCAGATATAGTAAAACTTTTTTTCTTGCATGTGAATGTTCACACAACTGTAAAGTATATCTGGAATTAATTAATTTCACAATCATCGCAGTGATCTAATAAATCAAATTTGAAACAAGACTGACAGACGGATCTGGGAATTTGGCTGAATCATATTTTGAAGTAACTGTTTAGCTGATCCGTTTCTGAAAACAAACAAGAAGGAATTTATTTTCCCACAGAATTTAGATCAACTATTTCTGTTTCAGTTTATTTGGGTGTTCTTTTTGGTGTTAGCAATTATCATTGTTTCTCTTGGTCTCATTTATTCACTCTCAAATCCAAACAGTGAAGGCATTTCACTGAAGAAGTTAGTGCTTTTCAACTTTCAGCATATTTCATGATTATATGTTCATAATATTATTATTTTGCTGCTGCAATACTTAATATGCGACGAACGTTATCTGAAGTTCTAAGCATCATAAATACATTCTGTCTGCATAGACATCTACTTTTATGCTATATAACGATGAACAGATGAACACGAAATGAGTAGTCTCTGAAAACAAGTGGGATTTATACAAGTAGAGGTGCTGTGTATGTATGTATTTTATTTATTATTTGCAGGTATAAACAGCAGGTAAACGGCATTCTGAAGAAAAGTTTCACTAACGAATATGAGCATGGTGTTAATACAAAGGCAGTATTACGGCTTATTGGTGAAAAATGGATTTACGAGGTGAGTCCTTCCTAGACTACTGCACATTATCTGGATTATCACGTGAAGAAAAATTTCTCCCTAAATACTTTACTTCAAATGACAGTTTGTAGAAATATGCGACTTCTCTTGGAACTGAACAAGGTGTTCTTTTTGGTTGTAATTTAAAGTTTACTTACTCTAACGGAAAGAGTTTTTTTGAAAGTTTGAAATACCATTCTAAGATTTCAGAAACCAGTCGAACCATATGTCGTATTAATTACGGGTACAAAAGCCGGTATGTTAGCAGATGCTCTTGGTGATGTTTTTTCGAATGTCACTGGAAAGGGAGAAATTGATAGAATATTTTGTAATGAATACAAAGAACGACAATTGTTGGAAAGTGAAGTTACAAAATCATTATCAAAGCACAGTAAATCAGTGGTTTTACATGGTAAACTTTTGGAACATTCTAAAATGAACGTTTTCATTCACACCTGAGCATTTGAGAAGTGAGAGATGAACACTGTTAGATGAAAATACAGGTTTTATATGTCTTCTTGAAAGTTTTCCTATCCGTTTGGTTTGTTAAGCAGTAGAAATTTTCAGGAATCGACACATTGCGAGGATATGCTCCTTTATACTTACACAGTTTATCTGATGCTGACCATTCACCGTTTCGTTCCTCACTCATTATACTGACTATTAATTCATTCTTCGGTTCTCATCCTAACTGTGAAGATGAAATATCTAGGTGAGAATGGGACATGTTTTTAAAATATTTTGTCTCAAACACCTTATTTTATATTTTTGTTCGCTGTTCAGGAGGACGTATATCATCTTATGTCATGCTCAGAATAGAAATTTTCCCATATCAAAGCATGGAGATTTTTCATATGATCTTGTTTTGTTCGTTCTAAATTAAGACTTTTCAGTCACTTATTAAATGTATGGGACTCGGATTATATCGGTGAGGACCAAATTCGACCAATTCTTTCTCGGATATCTTCGTTCTTGATATGCTTGGAAGATTGAGAAACAGATTGAGAAAAAGCTGAACTCTTTGATTTGTTTGCTATGGATAAGATAAAGCATATTTAAAGTAGGACAGCACTTCCTTTTGGATGGGAAAGATTCAATATACCGTTTTTTTTTTATGGTTATTACTTCTGTGCAAAAAGAAATTTAGTCATTTTAGGAAAAATAACAAATGTTAACTTATATTTTTCATTTGCTTATGTGTGTTCCATTCATAATGCAAAATGAAAAAGTCAAGTTCGTAATATCGCTATTAATTTGTACCTCCCAATGTTGAAATTGGTACGAGCTTAAGAAACAGTATATTTTTTTTCATAAATCATTTTTTTCCAAACCTCAGGACAACTTTCCTTCTCCCTTTCGTGAAAAAAAATCATTAACGCCATGTATTTTCCTTAATTTATGTATATTGTTTCATGCCATATTGTATAATAGTTGTATTCCAATGCTATGAACTAAAAAACTTCGTGAAGTTTCTGTTGATACATTTTCAATTAACAGCGGCTATCAGCCGTGTCAAGTAATTTCATTGGTTTTGGACAGGTATTTAGATTTGTATGCAACAAGCTGAAGGTATTGTTGCACTGTGGTACGCAAGTCAATCTATTTGGTGCATATCACGAAGGAATCTAATTTTACCAGTAGTATGTTTTTTTTTTTTTTGTCAGAAATTAGATCTCTCTCGGTTGACTTATCGGTTTCAGTTCATTTGAATATCGCAGTGCCTTATTTTATCTTGGAATTTAAATCTTTAATGTTCATTTCTGGGCTTTTCGCTTGTTTTTTAATTGAGGAAAGAAAAAATAAATTGGTGATATCGTGTAAACATATGTTCTGAAGGTCATTGTTTCAGAGAATAGATGCTTCTGCTGCAATCACATAATGCAATTAACATTTATTAGCAAATATCCGATTGTGTCAAATCCAAACCTTCCAAATGGATTAAACTTCATAAAATTTTTTGGTGCAACGAGGCGTATTTTGATTTAACGGCGCTTTTGACTTCTTCGAGAAGGAATTCTAGTTTTCTGTTGCCAGTTGCGCGTGTCTTTAATCGTATTACAATACAATGTAGTGGAGGAGATTAGGAGTTTAAAATACGACTAACTCAATTAAAGTAAGCAGCAAATGTGAGATTAGTTAAATCAAGATAAGAAAAAAGGGCTGATATTGTTAACATTTTACAATTCGTATGACTAATACTTTATATGAAATTATTTTATTTTATTTAATTTGAATTCGTGATTTTCGAAATTCCTGACACTTTTTTTATGGTTTGGCTATTGCTTCATATATTTCTGATTTATTCTAGAAATGTTCACCTAGCTCTCTTAGCTAGATGAAGAGCGACAGGTAAACATCCTATTTCATAGTACCAGCAGAAGAAGTATCTCACACATTTATCCGTCTAAACTTTTTCACTAGTTCAGTAAACAAATGCTTCCCTTCGTTTCCCACTGTTTAGTGAAATTCAAATATGAAATTTGAAGTAACCAAGTTTCTCCTCATTCTATGGTTAATCAGAGGAGAGGAAGTGTGAGAATAGAATGCTTTGGAGACGAAATAAGTGACAGTCTCCTGCTACGTGCTGCTTGCTGAGATAAAAGTCCGGATATCATCCGGTTTGATGTAACTTATGGAAATCCGGTTGTGAAATCTTGTTTCGTTGATAGTGGATTTTGATGATGGCATAATTTCAATTTTCATGCAGGATTTGATTGGTGATGGAAAAGTGCATTTGTCTGGTAGACGAGAAATATTTTTTGTGAATTCTCGATTTGATTAATTGACAATTTTAATTTGCAATCTCATCAAGAATCTTTGCAACTAAAAGACAAGACAAGAGACATAAAACATGAGGAGACATTGATCAATTGCTTATATTAGGACACACTCGTGTCACATAGACATATCTATCGATATGTCCCTCCATCCTTCACTTAGAGCATTTATATTTCTTTGATTTCAAAAACTTTTTCGATTGGTTACTCTTTGTATTTTTAAACTTTTTGAATTTTTCCTTAAAAAATTTGTAGTAACAAAAGTAAAGTTTATTGGACATTTTAGTAATACATGCATATAGTTACCTGAACGATGGGTAACACATGCATATAGTTACCTGAACGATGGGTAACACATGCATATAGTTACCTGAGTGATGGTTTGAACTATAAATAGAAATGAATCGGTGATTGACATCATTTTCCGGGTAATCTTTTGTAAACCCTTCCCTGTAAACTCTTCTTGAGAAGGGACACGCTTATTGCAGAAGTATTTTGGTAATTCTGGATTAGACATGTAAACTGTATTTATGCAAAGAAACTTAATTATAATTTAGAATAAAAAAAATAATAACTCATTAACTCAAAATAATAACTCATGTACTAATTACACAAATAGATGGTATTAAAGTTGCCCAGCTCAGGAAAATTTCACAGATATTTCAAATTTTTCTTGTGTTCGGTGGAAGAAAAAACTAATTTCAAACGACATTTTTATCCAACTGTTGGAAAAATTGCATGAAGATGAAGATCAAAATGATAGAAAAATAAATTTTACAAAAATAAATTTCAATCCTAGAATCGTCTGTCAAAAATCAAACCATCTTGATCTTGATCCATTAATACGATCAAACGATGATAATCCATTAATACGATCAAACGATGATAATCCATTAATACAATGTCCAGTAATGACCTAAGGTCATCCTGATTTATTATCACTTAATGCTATTATTCACTTCGTAATTGATCTGACAAAAGAAAAAAAAAATCCTCCTACCTTACTCTATAAATTAATTTATAAGTACGATAGCAGCCATCATCAGCATTGCAGCAATTTTCCATCTTAATTTTACCACCTGCAAATCAGGAAACCGTTTTATCCAGATAGAAAAGTAAAGGAGGAAAATAATGAAGAAACCGCCTAGAATAGAGGTAGTAGAATATTGACATTCTTGTGAATAACATCGAGAACATTCCTGTCATATTCCAGAAGCAATTCAAAATGAAGTGACAGGATCACTTGATAGCCATCACTTAGACAAGGACATACCTTTTTATCAATCGACTATCTTAATTTTTAGATCCCGAAGTGATAATACGAGAATTAAATATGGTTGAAATTAAGTATGCTGCATTTAACTTGTGATTTAATTCTTTACTATCAACAACTTATACAAACTTGTGATTTATTCCTGAATGATAGATTAGCTTTTATATTTGATGATAAATATTCTAGTGAATTGCACTGTTTGTATTTATGCAAACATTAGAAATGTTATAACGGAAGTTTCTTAAATAGAAGCGGAATTCCGGAAAAGTTTATTATTCAGTCATCAATTCATACATTGATAATCATTTTCATTGCATGTGATAAAATTAGTTTTTCCTTGAAATTATTTTAAAGTGAAGAACTTCGACTACAACTGAAGTAACTTGTAGAATAGGAAGAAACAGACGAGTGCTTGCTAGAATGAATTGCTAGTAAAATGACATCAAAGAGGACAGACAAGTTATAAAATAAAATATCCGATGATGCTTACTAGATGGGAAAAGTTTCATTCAATAAATTTAAGTAACTCTTATAATTACAGATCTATCTGTCTGTGTATGTGTGATATTATTTGCACCTATAAATCAGACACACCTATCGTTAATAAACCTGAAATTTAAGGTATATACATAAGTTTATAAAATGAATGTGACAGTTAGCAGTAGTGTTTTCATCGAGAAAGACATGACATCACATGGTAATAATATTTGTTTGTTCATCTTCAAAGAGAAGTTAAGTATTTGTTGTTATAGATTACTTGTAACATTTCACATCACAACTCTTATACCACTCAATATTTCATTTTATTGTCGTAATAATTTATTAAAATAAATATTAATTATCAATCAAAAAAAAAAAAAAAAAGAATCAAAAAAAAAAAAATCAAAAAAAGAAAACAAAACATTTATAAGAGTTTATTAAAGCAGTAGAAATTTATCATCGGCTTTTCTACTCCAATAATTTCATTCTGAGAAAAGTGTTAGTAGTGATCAAAGATTTATTTAAGTAGCTCTTATAATTAGCATAAATTATAGAAGTTGGCCACTAAATTTCACTGAGCCAAGCAAATAGTGGGGTAAATTTAATAAATTCACATCAACATTTGAAGTAATTCTCTATTTTAGCACTACATTTACGAGAATATTATTAAGAGGACACTTTAGTGACAACAAATTTCATTTAAGAGCATTCATCGTATCAGAATTTTCCACCTCTTTCGTTTCACAGCACAGCAGTATCCAACATATTTTACTTTCATCTATAAAAGTAAACTATAAAGGTAACAAGATAAGAGTATTTGTTGTTGCCATACATCTAGATGAAATTTATAAATCTAAATTCTAAAATTCTAGTCTTTATAGTAAATAGCTATTTGATAAATAAATGATAAAAAGATGAAAAGAATAAACCATCAAAAAGAAAACCGAACAAACTATGACTAAATTCTACATCGTTGAGATTTTTGCCCTACATAAATAAATTTAAATGCTAATTACAAGCAATTTCATATGAAATAATTAAGTGCATACATGCAAGTAAAACATATAATTTATTGTGAAAACAATTATTTCACCTCTTACATCATGTAAATTCAGAAGTATCATAAGAGTAGTTAGTTGCGATCGGTAGATAATCTGAAAAGCAATAAAATTGTGTTAACTTTTGATGGAATTAAAACAGTTGCATGTAAAATTAACAAATACATCAGCAATATACTCTTTATATTTGTAGCAGAAGAAATTACAATCTTATAAAATGAAAATTTATGCAATTACCTATTTACCTGTAAATGAGATGGTCAGTCATCTGTTAATGACGATCTGTCTGTTAATTTCTGTTGTAATTTCAACAGACATTTATAAGACAGAGTGAAGAGATGATTGAATTAAAGAAGAGTTAGTTGAAGATATTTTATATCGATTAAAGGACATTGGAAGAAAAGTAGTAGTAGTAGTGATAAAGGTATGCATTACTTTATAATAAATAAATGTCACTTTTCTATCTCTAGGATAATCAATCAACTGTTGCAATTAATTCTTAAAGTTTAACTTAAAGTTTGTCATATGTTGAAATTTTAACCTTTCTTCTTTTCTAAGAAAAAAACATTCTTATGAAGTTGAAAAACTTGAGCTGCCCAGAAAGTTAATTAGATTCATCTAGTCAACTAGCAGCCTTACAAATCGACATTGCCATACTTTTTTTAAATTTATTTATCTGTTTATTTGGCATTTAATTTAGCTTATCAAATTTTTTTAGTTTATCAAAATGCATTTGAAGCTTTCAAACTGTGTCAAACTTCGTAAGGTTCAATGCCAAACTTCATAAGGCTTCGTTCATGAAAATTTTGGTTATTTCTGAAAAGAGAAATTGAGAATTTTAACTAATTGTTGAATATTTGTTTATATGTAAACTTCTGAGTAATTACGTTTTAATACGAATTTTTTTTTTTTTAATTTTTTTACATAAATGAAAGATAAGCCATCGAAATTGTACATATTAACAGGAAGAAGAGAAATAGTACTAAATTTTCAAAAGTATTCCTTGAATATTGCTCCCTGTTTACAAAAGCACTGTCTATATACCTGAATCGTGCTGAATGCCTGAATCGGACTGGAACTACAGCATTACAGGATTCATTTAGAAAGAACTCCAAACAATCGAAAAATTTGCTGAGTGGACCAATACTCTTCCAATGTTTTTTAAATGGATGAAGCGCATATCCGTTCTGATTAGCATAAATACTTTCATGATTGATTAGCACAAACTTTTTCATTTCATGATCAGAATGAAGTAGTAGTTTGCTTGAACAACCCTTCAACTCCGTTTTTCTTTCAATCTCTTGTATAGCCTTGAGCAAATGACATCCAGTGAATTTAAAAAAAGAGACACATCGATGACAATGCTTTCCTACTGTACGAAATTAATTTAAATGAAAATATCTGTTGAGGATACAGTAAACATCGTCTCTTCATCCTCTCTTCTTCAAACCATCTATTTGAATTGTCGGTGCGAACATCATGTTATCCACTCCTAGTAACAACAAAAAGCTATTTTCAGATTAATGTGACCGTATTTTATCGATCAATTTATATATATCACGAATACTTTTTAGCAGCATCCATCGTCTATGAAAAAAAAAAAAAGAATCTGTGAAGACACCTTGCATATTTAGATTTCATTTCAAAGCATTCAAAAAAAAAAAAAAAAAAAAATCCATATGTTTATGCATGCGAAAACAGTGGTATAATGTCGTCCTCCTGGCATTCATTAAATGAAGAAAGAATAACCACTGTATAAAAACAAACAAACAAACAAACAAATAAGTAAACAAACAAGGTGATGTGCTAAAAAAAAATATGACATCGTCATATAATAGATTTTAATTCCTTTCTAAAAAAAAAAAAGATTTGCTAAGTTATAAAATGACCTCTTTGTTTTAAAAAGCAGTATTTCCATAGATTTGCACAAAAAATTTTAATAACTACAAAATAATTTGTTGATCCAAGTAAAATGATCTTCCCACATAACAAAAATTTTCATTATATGCATACTATATTAAAATCAAGTTTGTTTGAAAAAACATCACTATCACAGGAAATCTGCCGTAGTTTTGCGAAAGCTAAAAAAAAAAAAAAATGCTTGAAATGAGGATTGAATATAAATAAATAAAAAAAAAAAAACTGAAAAGACTGAAAATGAGCGTAAACCTGTAAATTCAAAGTAATTCTAGCATAATTTTCATATTTGGTACAAAAAAAATTTAGCATTGATAATACACCATTGAATGGCTATGAGAAACAACTACTACTGTAGACCAAAAATTATATTAACCACTAGAAATATTACATTTTAGCAAATGGAAACCTATTTTTGCGTAATGAGCAGAGCAGCAGCAGCAGAAGCAGCAACAGATCTGACACATCATGCAAATATACAAAATCATCCAACCCTTGAGCAAAAGCATAGAATCAACAATGGGGGTAACACTGTATTCATCAATACAATTTCAGTATACAAATCCAAGTTCCTCACAACTGTAGAAATAAACAATTTTTTAACCTTCTCTCTTAATGAAATCAACATTTTCAAGAAAATACATACAAAAAATATTTCCTAGAATAAAGTTCCTTCCCATTAAAAAGATTGAATCTCCATCGAATTTAAAAAGAGATGTTTATTTTTATACAAACGAATTTGTTTACCCTAACTTGCAAGTAGTGAAAATATAAGTGTGTGCTTGTATACGTCCTCTGAGGTAACCGACGACATATCCAGGATTTTTCTGGGAAGAGCTTCTTGATTAAACAAAAGTTTAACACAAAAAAAATCTCAATTTAAATCAAACTTGAAGATTGAGTCTTGTTGTCTTCATTTTTCACTTTCTGTCACTACACGGTTAAAGTGATAAAAAGATAGATGACCAGTGATAACCTAAAATACTACTTAGTAAAATATTATAAAAGAAAGAGATGAAAACGAAATTCGACCTCACTTAATCCTGGATATGTCACTATTGCATTAAGACATTAATGATAGTATCGCGATGAGCAATTAAATCTTAATCCATCGTATAATTAAAAAAAAAAACAAGCAGACATTATAACAAAACAAACATGATGTAAAAGTAAATATTGAAAATATAATACAAACAATTGCTCCATGTCAGCAGAGATTTCTTGATACTTATCATACAATTTAAAACTCTAAAAGAGGACAGTACTAATATCTTTACTTGAAAATAATAATGTAAATTACAATCTAGACAGCGTTTTTTTCTTTCTTTAAAATGTTCAGTCATTAGTTCCGAGCGTACCGCTTTTTTTTTTTCCAATTTAGGATGAACTGGTTGTAACTGCCTTTTTACCTTTCCTGTCTCATATCTAAAGCCTTGAGATATATCTCTCACCTTATTTAGCGCTGTCCGATATAACAAACAGGCTAATTCAGCAAAGACTAGAACGAGAGCTTTTTTAGCCCAAAATAACCATACTGGATTCTGAGATCATAAATGCCTGATAAAATATAGTGTGTTTGAAAGTTAGTTAATGACAACATTTATGAAGTAAGCCTCTCAAATAAAACGTTGTTCATGCGCTGATCGTTATAAATAATTTTGCTTTTTCCTATAGAAAAAGGAAAAAATTTAAATTATAGTAGGGTCTTCATTGCCTTATCAACCCGCAACAAAAAAAAAAATGAATATATTAAAAAAAATTTCCAAATCATATCGTCAATAAAAACCATCGATCCAATGCAAGGGAACTGAAGTAAAGAAGGTACCAAGCACTCTTCTTAATGCTACAGAAATGATTTTAAATCTCAGCCCTCTTTTTCAGACATTAAAAAAGTTAAACTATGTATAGATCTAATCTAGAAACCCAAAACGAAAAATACTTACATCCAATTTAAACTTTCATTTTAAAATGATCCCAACTGACGTTAGCATAAGACAAAAAAGAGAAGTAATAAGGAGATACATATATAATACAAGTGCATTTGTATTATTCAGCGACCAGTGACACAGGAAACTAACTAACAACAGTCACAGATCTCTCTCTCTCTGAGTTTGTCAACGAACAAGATAAAGAGAAAGGAAAAAAACCTGAGATCGGCTTGTTTCTCTAATCCTCAACATAAGAGGTAATTTGGTATGAAAAAGAAAAAAAAAAATGCATGACATCATTCATGAATTTCTAAAACTATCATTCGTGGAGCTCGAAGTACCACGCTGACTTGTTACAATCATTTTCTTATATCCACTTGGTCGAACAACATAAGAGTTTGTCTAAATTTAATTTAGGATATAATACGAATTTGGAATCCGATATTACCAAATAGTGTGGTAAGTGGAAATGCATACATACATCTTCCAAACATTAACAATAAATAATATAAACAAACTAAAACGAAAAATTTTTGCTTAAATTTAAACTGCGCTGATAACATTCTACTTCGGAATCTAGTGCTAATGATAGAGTTGTAGAAGAGCAAGACATTAAATAGTTCTCTTACATGTCTTAAGAAGAATAATAAAGCAAAAAGCAAACAAAACGACATACCGGTGAGTTTGTTCCACCCGAGACATAATATGTACTCTGTTGTGCTGGACGACTCAGTACTGAAGTTGATTGTTGCAAACGGCTACCACTGATAATGTTAACATATGGTTGCTGGGTAGAATTTCGAACAGGCACAGGTGAGTTCTGTGGACGGACCACATAAAGTGGTGAACTGGATAAAGAAGTCACAGGTTGTTTTGTACCTATCATCAAACGCTGTTGCTGCTGCTGAAATGATTTGTAGATATTAGAACAAATGAACGGATACAAAAAATTTAATCCTTAGTAATTCTTCTCTTTTCCTACTTCTCTTCCTCTCTCTCTCCTTTCCACAAAGAAGCTTAATGAATGCAATATACACTAACTGTGGATGCAGAGGGCCTTCGGTCACTTCCAGATCTGTGCAGAACAGCAGAATGTACATTGTTGTTACTTGCTGGTGTACTGCCAGATACTACTGATGCATGCTCACTTGTTATAACTCTGTAAAAACAACATTTACTGTAATTTCTGCACTGTTTTGCGGTAATTAGTCCAAAAATGTCCTGAAATTTACTGCAGAACGAGAATGATTTTCGGACTACATTAATCTTATTTTAACCAAAAGTAGTGATTACTACTAATATGTAAAACTCAAAATTCTGCAAAAAAAAAAAGATACAAAAAGAAAAAACTGCAAGACCATAACATACTTGTGTACAGCTTCGCCAAATCCTCCGAACATATTCTGATAATCCGTAACTTCCTTCAGTCCAGTTGGCTTTTGAATTTTTACGAAATGCACCAATACTTTCTTTAAAACAGTTCTTTAAATGGCAATATAGAAAAAATGTATGATATTAACATTTTTTTAACGGAAGTTTAAGTTATGATAATGAATTTTCACTTACAATAACGAAATTTTGAAGTTTTTCTGCGGCTAATTTATCAACCACGTTCGGTTTGTCCGACATAACTTTCCGAAGATCATTGTGAAGCTGAGCAGCTCGAGGTATCACCACAGAATGCACAGTCTGCAACAGATCCCATAATTATGACGTAAAAGATATAGAATGTCACGAATTCCAATCTAATTGTTATTACTACTTAAACTGTTTTATGAACTTTATAACATCCAACAATTTAAAAATAAAAAAAAATTCACGGATTTTCTAAAACAATACAAAGCCAACATCTCCAGCTTCACATGCTCATAATGGCAACACAAACTTTGGACACCAAACACAAGCAAATAAACTCGAAGCTTGACTAACCTCACTATCAAACAAGACACAAAAAGTAATTCAGAATAGCGATAAAATACAATAACAATAATTTAAAAGTGCCATTCATTTTTTTTTTTTTGTTCGTTTTACTTAACGTAATAGAATTTTAATAATTAAAAGATGTACATCAACACCGAGCTCGTTCAGAGCATACAGTGACCCGTACAATGCCGCAAGTGTACAACTTTCATCACGCCAAACTTGGGCAAGCACTTGAGTTACACGCGATCGTAAGTGGTTGATGTTATATGACCTGAAAAGTCCTGTTCCAATATGAAAACTTTTTTCATGTAGTTGATTTTATAGGGTTCAATTTTTGTTTTTTATGTAAGATTACAAGATTCCAATGATTATTGCTGAACAATTTTAATTTTCGTTTATATAATATGTATAAAAATCCCACCTGCATATATTGGCTAACAAACGACTGGAAAACTCGCGTAATGCCCAATGATTGTCTGTTTCTGGGCGAGCACACAATTGCCGACTTAATATGCACGACAGTATAGAAGGCAACAACTCATGTAACTGTAAATCTCAGGATCGGTAATTCAGTAATTAGAAAATACAAACAAATTATTCTTGTCAAAAAAGATACACCAAAAAGTTTTATTGTCAGCCAAGAATGATTGATTATCTACACACCAAATCATTATACAAATTCTTTAGTTTCGTTAATGTATTAGAAATCAGATCGAAATATAGTCACTGACACAACGCTCCAATGATAATGCTGGATTATTTGCCAAACTCTGAATCATCCTCATCAAATATATCAGAATAGCCAGATTGTGCTGCACAATATTGCATCGAACCTTAATTTAAAAAATGTAGTAAAATTAGCGAAAACAAGATTACTTCGATAACAAAAAATATTCAACATTTTGTAGAATAAACGAACGAATAAGCAACCAACCCCTTCAACAATCACCACCGAAAACCTAGGCAGTAATTGTTGTAAACCCGCATCTGTTTGAAGGCTGTATAATGCTTCCTGTAAATCAAGAATTGAGAATCAGAGAATTACAAGAACGAAACCATGGATTCAAAACACTGAGTTGAGTTAAAAAATAAACTATGAATTATGAAATTAACAGGATATTGCAACAATTCTAATCTCAATAACATTATGCCTCATCAACATTAAAACAAAGATTTTTACTTCACAAATGTGGTAAGATAGAAACATTGTTTCATTATCATTAGCAACTTACTACTAAGCTTTGTCATAACATGAAATGAAAGAAGTACAGACAATTAAACAAGCGTACCGTCCTCCTTGTATCATCACTGCCCATAATAGCCTCAGTGATCTCCTTAAAGAACACCTGCTGCTCCTGAAGGAAATTAAACATATTTCACATGTTAGTGAATTTTCTTATTGATAAGAAAAACCAATAATCAACTAATAAAAAGACCTGACTTTGCAAGTAAAATCAACAATGATGAAATACAGAAACAGTAATAAGTATTGACGAAATAGTTGGTTTTTTTGGACCCAAAAATTCAGCAGAAAAAAGTAACAGAAGCAATAATATCAGCAAATTTGAGATACCAAAAAAAAAAAAATTTTTTTTTTTCAAGAATCTCAACCGTACATAATGACATATCAGACTGTTAAACTTTCTGTTTCAACATAACATTCACGAAAAGTATGAACAGTAACCGAATGACATATCAATCCATAGTCAGTAAGTAAAGCAAAAACCAACCACGGATAGTGCGTGTGTAGAAGTTGTTTTGATTTGTACTTGCTCAGTTTGTCGCAGGCCTCTACGTGCCTTTGATAATATCGATAGACCCGTATCAACTGCTGCTTTTTCAGTAGCAACTACTACTGCTGCTTCTTTCTGTACCACAGGAGCTGGATTCTCTGGCACAGCTGGTTGCACGCCATCAATCACCAACCAATGAGCTGAAACGAAATTATTTTTGCATCTTATAATGCCGAAATGGTGAATTTGTTTCAGAAAACTGTAGCCTGCACAGCACAACAAACTGAAACATTTGCAAAAAACAAACAAAAGGTAACGAAAACGTCGTGATAACTGACATGACATAAAATGGTTTAAAAATTTTACAAAAAAAAATTTTTGTAAATCACTAAAAACAACAGACAAAATATACTCAAATTCGAGGAACAGCAATTTTCCGGTTTTTTTGAGAGGAAAACATATTAAAAACTTGCATTTAATATTGGTTTCAAGAGGTAATTTAGCAGCAGGAGCATTAACTACTGGTGTGATCTCGATATCACGATCATCCGTAACAAACAAATCACGTCCCATCGATCCAGCGAAACGGAAAGGCAACCCTTCTTTCACAGTGAAACCAAATAAAGGCTAGAATAATATATTTGCTTTTACAACATTTTCATTTCTAATTTCAGAAAACTCTTGAAATTCTAAAGCTGTAACCAAAAATTAATACCGGATAGCCGCCCATTGCAAATGCTGAATCGATGTCCTCAGCTGTGACGCGCTTACGACGACCGTGCACAGCAAATTTTTTTGCTTGTTCAGTTACCATCTGAAAAAAAAAAACTCAAAAGCCAAAGATGTCTGCAATCAGTAACCTAAATAAAGTTACGGTGGAAAGACGGAAGCCAAGATATGCACATGCTTTTAAAGTAGAATGTTGTTACCTTCACTGCATAAGTCATTTGAACTGCTATTTGAGATGCGCAAACATCGGAAAGCCCTGCTATGCCAACGGATTCTGCCACTACCTGGAATTCGCATCTGAACTTTATGCTCAAATTTATAGAAAACGAATCGCTAAACAATTTAAGTCTCCGAAAACAACAAAAAAAAAAAAAGTGAGGCTGTGTTCAGTGATCATAAAAAACAAAAAATTTGGTTAGTGTAACAGGAAAAATGTATGTTACCTTAACATATGAAATGCCATATTCCGCATCTACATTTGCTGCTCCGGAATTGTTGGTGTGTGTATTTGCTGCACCTGTTAAAAACGTGTGTTTGTAAAAATAAATTAAATAAACAGAACGTCAGAAAAAAATGAAATAAGAAATTTAATATTTTACAGAATAAAATATGCATATTGCTGTTGAGCCAAAATTTTATAAGGATTTCGGTTTTCTCGATTCAATTAAAAATATATCAACAAAAAAAAGACATTCCTTCAAAACAATGCTAAATTTCCTCTTGTAATTTACCGGAGCTATCATTCTAGAAGACTCCACTACTACTTAAATTAACACTGTTCGTTATTCAATCAGGTTTCACTTTGAATTTCTCAACTATATTTGGTTCCCAAACCATATCAACTAACAGCTTAACTGCGGATCACCAGAATAAAAATTCTAATACACAGCGTCTCAGTTCCACCAAATGATTGATGAAATAACTTCAAAGGCATTATAACAGCCTTAATATGAACAATAAACACTAACCAGATGTGCTAGCAACATTCTGATGGCCACCATTAATCACACGCTGAACATTATTTGGCATTACACCGTTTGCACCGTTGCCGTGCTGAACAGCGGGATTCAGAAATCAACCGCTTTTAGCACGATATCTCACAAACTGCTAGGGACGTTAAATCAATCCACAAATTCCGAGTGAAATAAATTTTCACATTCAGAGCACCTGAAAATAAACAGTTAAACTATAAAACGAACATGATTACTCCTAGAAGATTTGAACTCAACATGTCGCACAATGAGATCAAGTTTGACTCACCTGTAAGAGAGCAAATCGCCAATACCTTCGTTATACGTTAATATCAATACGCGTATGTAGATATTTTACACGAAGTGCATGCCTCAAACGTATGTGAACAATAATATCCATATGCTCATGGATAAATAAACATCATATACTTCCATAGTAAAAAATTTCGAGAAATTCTTTAATTTTAAATTAACATTTTCACGTTGCAACGGATAGTATATGCATGGTGTTGACACCACCTTAACCACAGGATCACAATTGCGATAAAAACAATTTACCTATACAAACAAGACGGAGAGTGAAAGCATACAAAAAGATAATGTTAAAAAGTACATTTCAAAATTATGGTAATAGCTATTTAAACAGGAGAGAGTATATTATAGTATATAATCCGAAACAGTTTTGCTTAAGCAAAAAAAAAAAAAAGAAAAAAGACGTTGAATAAATATCCTCACCCCCATTTTTCTAATAACAAGCAATACTCATGAACCAGAACCAGATTTTTTTTAGGAAAATGAATCAGAAAGTCCTAGTAAAGTAAAGCATTTTGAATGATTGAAACTAAGATTGCTATGAAAAAAGAATGATAAAAGATATGCTGTCATACACGTAACTGCAAAACAACAATATCACCTCATTATATCAAGAAATAGAAATATCCTAATATAAATAACAAGAGCTCTTTTTTATTGAAAACCAAAAAAATAATTTTATAGCCATATAAAATAGACTTGTTGAATTTAAGACTGTAAACCGAACAATAATTTATTCTTTAAAGAAAAAATAGCTCTCCCCCAATTTTTCAATATATTGCTTCAAATTTATGAGAAAATAACAGGAAAACTGTAACACAACAGCGTAAGTACCAACAAAGTCTTTGGTCATCCGTCTTTTCTTAATACACTGTTAATAATATGTGCTAATTCTTTTTCCAGGAGTGGCAGAACAATAACACCTTCTTCATCTATGAATGCTCCTATAGATTTCAGGACCTGAAATGTTGGATGTAGTTTCCCAATAAGAATTATTAGAGAAAACAATTTAAACTTCTGCCAAAATATGTTTTTAACTATCCCACACACCAATGCATGAATGAACAGCTTGTATTCATTAACGAATTCAGTCACATTTTGGAGGAAAAATGATATGGAAAGTATTAATTTTATATTTTGTTTTACTACTACTGAAGCCTCAAAAAGTTTCGCCTATTTGTTTCTAACCGAGGATATAACGTCAACCGATAAATTTGTCATAAAGTTACTACGAAATGAATAACATTTTACAAACTTGGAAAAAAATCACATACTTTGATGTATCCTGTACGCGGTTCTTGCATATACTCGGCTTCTAGGATATATTTGTCATCATATCTGAAAAATCGATAAACAATGACCATGTAAAAAGCTTTTCCACATTCACAGAAATTTTATGGATACATAAATAAATCTGAAAAAAACCAACTTTTTGATCGATGATGACCATTTCCAATATCTTTTCGGAGTCCGTTCACTTGGATCTATTTCAACGGCTTGATAAAAAGTACCTTTTTCAATATACCACTGATAGAGTTGTAAAACACCCATTAATATAAAATATGTAATGGAACATGTTGCAAGCACCTAAAACTTTCATCAAATCATTATTTTGCGTTTTAAAAGTAACAAAAATTAAAAGAGAAAAACAACTGGATCAACAATTCAACCTATTTATGGATTAACAAATAAAAAGAATTTATATGTAAATGTAAATACATAATGAAATTGAATTTGGAGAAAAAATCACCGGTTTCGATTTTGGAAATGGCTCATAATAATCGTATATGAGGGCAATAGCGGCAAAACCAACAGCAATAGTAGATATTAGTAACCGTCCATCTGCTAGCGTATGTCTCTCTGTCCAAGTATCATATTTTTCATTGAAAATCTAAATGCTTCTGGGTACACAAAATGTAAATGCATTTTTAAATATTTTTACAATACAGTTATTGATAACCTAGCAGTTATCAACTTATTCATCGATAGAAATGTAAACATTTATATCGCTCTCCGAACATGAAAAATAGTGAACTACATAGGACTTGTCAACGCCCCAACAACGACCTTAAAACTATTTCGGAAAATGAATTGATAATGAAGCAGTACTCTTGCTTTCAGAAAACATAAGCGGTATTAACCTTTCTAATTGCATCATCAATTGTGTTTCTTACGCTTGGCCCATCCCACTTATTTACTCGCAGTTGATCACAAGATTTATCCAACATTGCTTTAGAAGTACCACTGCTTTGTGAATTCTAAAAGATTTGGGAAACCTCGTGTCTACAGCAATGGATGTTCCAAATATTAATTAAAGCCTGATAATTTACGAAATATTTTCTCTTAAATAACTATCTTCCTACACCCCTTATGTGTAAAAAAATAGTCCATAAATTAATCAACAAAAATAACCAATAAGTAACAAAAATTCGTATGAAAAAAGACCGAAGTAAACAAAAAAGTAAGAGTTACTTCTCTCCATACTTCGGAAGATCTAATAAACAAATTTAAAGCTTCTCCATACCAACAAAACAGACTTACTTTGGATGGCATGATTGCAACTCTTTCGTTACAAATATTGTCTGAAAAACATCTTTTAATTAAAATTAATATTATCGTCGTGTAATGCAATAGTTGCAAACAATATAATATCCTGATAGATATTAACACTTTACACGACGTCGATAGTGAATTCTGTTTCAACTGAAGTTTGTCTAACTATACTTTAGTCCAACTTCTTAGTAAATGGAACTAAAACTTCTACAGCAACATTGTAATCAATCGCTGAAATTGTAGGACAACAAACACCATAGATGAAACATGAATCTCATGAATAATCCAAAACATGGTTTACAATTTTCTACGATAAGCAAAGTACTCCACTTCTTATCAAGAAAGATATTTACTAATATTTTACTCTCTATGATCTTCAAGATGTGGAAAAAAACAGGAACAGTGAAGTTATTTATTTCACTAGTGATTTATTGCAGATGATAGTTTAACTTAAATACTCTATATCTAAACATTTCATCCTAATCTACGAATTCTTCCTAGCTCATGCCTTCATTCGAAATAGGTATCAATGAATCACATTTTTCAGCATTCTAGATAAATAAAAACACGGAGACAAAAACACAGTAACTGGAATTCTCAATCGATAGTTAAAGATAATTTCTGGAACTTTGAACCTATTAATGAAGCTTACTGATGTCGAACAAAAAAAAAACCTGTCGCCTATGACAGTATCACAGGTTGCTCACCTATTGCTGAAGAGACTGTAAGTTCTTTGTCCATAAACTCATCTACTGTGTCTCAGGACCTAGTCAGTCATTCAAGTGAAACTGTCACAAAAACATTCAACCACTTCAATAAGGACAGTTTTTTTTTTTTTTGCAAAATGATGAAATGAAATGAAAGAAAGAGAAATTACAAAAACTGATCTAAGGAAGTTAGAAAAGTAATAATCAAATAGTCTCAAAAGTTGAGTTAGCTTCTCAAGAAAATAACCTTTCACTGAGCAGCAGTACAGTCTACCTTTACCTTTACGGAATGCAATACACACCTGCACTTCCGGTTGGTGTGTCCCAGCCTAACAACACACGTCACCACGATGCTAAGGTAGCGAAAGGAATCCACTAGTACTGCACCTGTCTTTGGTTAGACGTTAAAGACGGGTTAGGGAATGTGTGAGTGTGAGAGAATAAAGAAAAACAGAAATTCTCATTGGTGCTGGAAAATTTCCAGCTATGGTTTTACGACGAAAGCATGCCTCTCGATCGATATTTTCTGGCAGTGATGTTGTGATCGCGTGATTCTTACTCGCTGTTCACGTGTGGGTCGGTTGTGTTTGTGTAGTGCGTGAGGACTTCTGCAGGCGTAGTGTAGGCGTATCTTTTTACGTCCTCACGTGCCGTTTCAGCGTTTTTGTCACGTTTCTCAGCAACGGTAGGGAGCAGTTTGTCCGTTGCAACTAACAACTATACACGTTTTTAAAAGTTGTAACGGCTTGTAATCTGAGTTTACATTAGAGGAGTCAAGTTTGATGTATTTTCAGTAATCTTTTTTCTCCTGCACATAAAGTTTTCCTCCTTTACTTAGAAGGCAAAGATTTAGAATAAGTTAATACATCGAATCCCAAGTGTGAGTCTTGTTCCAAAGCGAATCGATGCAAAATCTTCTTTGTATCAGTTGTATCCCGAAGTAATAAGATTGTCCAATCAGGTTGCACAGAAAAGTTAAAGATCACATTTGTTCTTACAGAGTGCTATCGCGATCTGCTCCTGCATTTCACTGTGAATTATACGTCAAGGTTTCATTAGTGAATACACATTTTGCGAGTTATTATTCTGCAAACTTTCTATTTGTGCTGAACAATGGATGGTAGCATTGTTGATAATAAGCTTAATATGTCGCTGGGTTGGTTTCACTTAATTTATTTCGTTTATGTGATTCTTTTTTTTAATTTATGTGCTTGTTTCAATAAAACTTGTTTTGCTGGCTCATTGATCGTATTTTGTTTCAAATTTATTTCATTGTGTTGGTTTTCTATTTGAATTTCTTGGTTAATTTCCCATTCATAACTTCTAATTTTCATCTTGCAGATGATATAATAAAAAGAGAACGTAAAGCGAAGCAGCGACAACAAGATAATGGTATGCAAGGGTTAGGAACAAAACGTGTGGTACCAAAGCGCACTAACATTAAAAGGGTAATTTCTGATTACAGTGTACTTTTTTATGTAAAGGGGCATTATTTATGGTTTTCTGATTAATGTTATTCATTACTTGCTATGTTTAAGAGACCTATGTTTAGATAGAGGTTTTGTGTATCCTCTACCTCTTCCAAACGATTTAGAAAAATGAAAGATTGTAGGGCAAACGAGCAATCACACGTAGAAACCGCCAGCAAACTGTTGCAAATGGTGGACTTTCAGCAGCAACTACGATGAAAGTTGTCAATAGACTTGTCAACGTATCTTTTTCATTTCAATTTGATCTATAATTTACGTCCTCCTTAGTATTTTCATTGACAGTTATGAGTTTTTATATGAAGCATAAGTTCAATCATATTTCAGAAAGCGATTCGTCGACGAGCCAATCAGTCACTTATAAATCGTGCGGTGACATTGCGTCGTCGCGTTCTTCGACGGAATTCTGCTGTGAGACCAGCCGTATGTTCAGCTGCCATTCCTCTTTTTGTATGGGCTGTAAGGCCCTGCTGCATTTTAATGCGTTGTTAAATGATTGGAAACCAGTGATCTTAAATGATCGTCCAATTGATTGTTCGACGAAAGCAGCACGTAAAGATAACGTCAAGCACTACTGTTGAAGAACTAGAAACAGAAATTGTTGTGGCGTGGTGTTGCATCAAATCCATACGTGTCACTGTGATGCAGTTTTGTTGGCAATTACTTAGCTTACGTCACATGACTTTAACCTCAGGAAGAGGAGGTTTACCTGAGAGTGCCAAAGGCAATGAATCAGCCCTGTTATTACTATTATTATTGTCATGAATGAATGGTCTTTGATGGGTTCTTGATTTGATGTTTTGAAAATTCCATGGAATGTGAGTGAACGTCGCCATTTACTGCATTGTACACACCAGACGGACAATGATTTAAAAAAAAAAAAAATTACCGATCGATATCCGGTGAAGTTTTTTTGTTTGTTGATGAGTTTTGATCGAAAAGAAAGCTTTTATAATCAACGCTTTTTTCTCATCAAATCCATTATTTCGGCATGCGTCTTACTTTGTGTGAAGAGTAGGAAAGATTCTTGTTTCAACATTCACGAAGTGAGTTTTTGTGAAGTATGCAGTAATTCTATAGGGATTAAATTATTGGAATTAATGGGTTCAGTTTGGGGAAGTCTCATTTTCAGGTGAAGGGATTACGTGCACGGAGACAAACAGCAGTTGTTGGATCACGCCTTGTAGGCCGTTTATCAGGTGTTAGTCAACGCTCTCGAGTAATTGGTGGAAATCCCAGAAGAAATGTGCGCAGACAACCGGTAGTCTTCACTTCACCTCAGGTAGCACTAACTCGGTCTTTCGACTAGTTTTGTTTACATTACATAATTACCAGTTTACTTGTCGTTACAGTTGGTACGTGGTCGAGGATTATCACATATGGGTCAACTTGTTAGTGATAGTGAAGCATTCATGGTTGGACAACGCGAAATGTAAGTTCGTGTATTATTTGGTCGAGTTGTAATCTACTTTTTAAACTCAGTGGTGAAGAAGGAAGATATAATACATTTCAAATATCGAACATTGCAAATAGATCTTTTGGAAAACAAGTTGCTGAGAGTTGTTGATGGCAGACTACTGCTCATGACAGCTATGTGTTCAATATTAAGATTTGCTGCTTGTTACAGTGTTCGTCCAGTGCTTCAACAGAAGATGTTACGTCATGAGATGGTGGCTGCACATCCACATCGTGAAGTTGTCGTGCAGCGCCGTACACGTCCAGTGATAGTTGAACAGCAGCCCATAATTATTCGTCGTGGAGGGATACGTAAACGAGCTGTTTTGAATGAACCAAGTGTCGTCGTTGTAAGAAATGCGGTACATTTCTTGAATTACTCCCCAAAAAATTTGTTTCTACTGTTGTCATTTAATGATTTAATTTCGACAGTTACAATTTCAACTGGTGTATTGTTTTAGCCACCGCAGGTTCATTTCCGCACACAACCTGAATTTGGACGTGTTCAGCGTGCTGTCGACGTGCTACCGCGTAGCCGCCTAATTCGCAAAACGCCATATGTTATCAACCCAAATGCTGTGCAGATGCGTAAAGCATTGGGGATTGGTTTACGAAGAGTAAGTTTTCACAACTTGTCAACTAGATGAAGATGTTAGTCATTGCTTAGTAAGTCCTCCATGTGCATAAAAAGTTTCTTCATTGAAGGTTTACTTATGTGACATGTTGTTTGCACATTATGTGATAAAACGTTTTTGATACTTTCCGCTTCCGAATTAAAAAGAAGTTAGGGAATAACGTCGAAGCATTTCTCTTACACTTTTAAAAGTTTCAGTCGGAGCCACAGCGTTTCGAGTCAAGCAACACGTTTCTCCAGCGTATACCTGTAACAAGTCGTCGAGGACGTGGTTTCCAGAATATAATTTACAATTAATTCAATTTTTTTTCTCTGATGTTGTATATGCGTTAAAATGCTGACCTGTTACGCTCATTGGTTTTTTTTCCTCATTTGCTTTATTTTTTCGTCAGCATCTCACTAGTACACTATTTTCTAGTTGGTATGAATTTTTTTTCTACTGTTATTTCAAGTATAGTTTGCCAAATCTGGTATTTAATATTTTTTAAGTCTTCTAAAGTCGGTAATGAAGCATCTTCCCTCATGTTTGGGAAAAAAGTGATTGGGATGGACCGACGTGCTTTTGCTACTTGTTACTCTTTTTTTTTGTGATGTTATGTGCAACTGATTTCTATACATAATAAAATTGATTGGCATTTTGTTTAAGAGTTATCATTTAATGGATAGATTCGTGGGATGTTAAATTTCAATGTAATCATTGTTGAACAAAGTAGCAGGTACCGATACTAGTGGAAAGTCATCTATGAACTAAATAGATATGATGGAGGTCAGTAGGAGTATTACAATGACTTCTATTAAAAGAAAGGAGTAATAAGTGAGGAAGGAAATGATCAGTTGAAGTTGCAAATTGTTCAAGAAGACTTAACACTGATTTAAGTCCTCATTTCTCGTCGTGATGAGCTATATGTCAAACCAGGTACGGGAATATCACAGTATTTCCACTCCCTGGTAGTGGACAAAGTGAGGCAAAATACGATAGTAACAGGACAGAACATTATGAGCTACTTGCGATCTGCTTGCTCACTCGGGAAGTGCTCTCGAGAATACCTGGTATTCTCGAGATTGCTCTTTGTCTGATGACATCAACAAAATACACCATTCCACTGACACTAACTTTTGCTGAACTAACTAGGACGAATTAACCAAGAAATGTTCCGTAGAAATGAAATATACATTAGAAATGACCTATACTGACCGCTATTTAAATGCTTTCAGTGTTAGCTATCAATTAATGAAATTTATTCAAATTCAAGGTAGGTTACACTAAAATTTCCCGAGAAAACAATTTTCTTCACGATAAAGCCTGGAATTGTTCGTATACATAATACACCAATAACGAGAACTCACAGTGATGCACATGAGAAACAGTTTCTGTTACTGAAGTGATCGATGGGCAGTTCTTGGTGAGAAAGGAACATAGATGACGAATCACTCGGAAGTTATTTGAATTCCACAATTTTAAAAATATTAAGTGTTTTCAGACCTTTTATCTGATTTAAAAATGTCAACATCAACCATCTAGAAGCATATTATCATATGCTTCGTAACGAACCCTATAAAATTGTTAAAGTCAGCAGATGAGGACAATAGCTGTACAAACCGCAAAAAACTTTACAGCTGTCAACATAAAACAATTATATCAGACAATTAACAACCATAAATTCAGCGAAAGAAAAACGGCCTGAAATCATCTGATGCACCAAAAATAAAAATTTACAAAGAAATAAAAACATGAACAGCTGGAAATAACTAATAAATAGAAAATTAAAATTTTTGCAAATTATTGGTGAACCGTAAAAACAAGAGTGTCAATTTATAAATGGTTTATATTATATCACTTACTTGTTTATGTACTGAATTAATGCATACGAAAAATTAGCCTTGAGTATCTGCCTGACACTCTGTTAATAATAATCACAATAAAATACAGAATCGAAATCAAAAACATAAACAGAAATTCTCGAAGTTTTAATCAAAAGACTTATGTAATATTACTCAAGAGTTAGAATTTAGAACAACAAGAGAACAAATGATGGGTTAAACAGAAAGTCAGTTCCATCGAGGCTAACTAATATTTACTGCCGAAATCAGGAAAAATCTTAGAGTCATAAATGAGATGAGCTCTATTTCAAAAACTGCAGAAAATCAATATTCGAAATTGGAGGAAAACTATTAATTAAAATTGGCTTTTGATGCACAGTTGAAAATGCAAAACTTTTAAACAAATTATGTATAAATTCATTACTAATCAGCAACGGTCTCAAACAGCTTCTACTTCTTCATCCATAACGTCACACGTTTCCGGAAGTAAAATTTCCGGATCCACAATCTAAACAAATTATATGTAAATTAGTTAGCTTCAGCTAGACAATTAAATTTTAAACTGCAATAAGATAAGTTTGATAATTTCTATAATATAAACTTTTCTCTTTAAATTCATCACTAACCAGAGAAATAAATAGCTCAGTTATAATGATCGTATTTCAGGTTATGATTCATATTTCAATATTCCACAAATATTTCATTTAATTCTTTTTTTTTTTTTTTTTTTTGTATACGATTGTAAAATTACGTAGCCGTTTATTATACAAGTCCACCATACAACACCTGTAAACTAGAAAAACCCAAGAAAAAATCCCAAGTCAAGCTGCACCATTATCCCAAACCATATCATTCAGTATCAAATAGCAGATGCATAACATTTATGAGTTTCATTTATTAAATTAAAATCGCACAAATTTTTACCTCGAGATCACCATGTTCAATGAGCAAATGAACCCGTTTATGATAACTTTCATGTTGCTCCATTGCCTTGCGATCTGCGAAAGTTCTCAAACAAACCTAAATCAAACATATTATGCTTACATCATTTGAACAAGTTTCATTATTTTAACAGTAACTGTTGTGTAAAATATATTCATTACCATGAAAAATATTCATGGGGAAAAACAGTAGAACAAAAATGCTTTGAGAACCCCAAAAATCGAACTGTAAAAGAATTACAATCTCATTAAGTCTATTTATTCTACAGAAGAATGAAGCTTACTTCGCAAAACAATGGCCGCTCAGTTCTTGCCATCGGATGTTCAATATCAATATGTTCCACGCACTCCAACCTTGACATAAAGACTACTTTACAGATGGGACAATCAAAACGTTCAAATGACAATGCACGGGCTTGTTCGAATATTTCGTCAAGATTAAATGAATTTTCTTCAGCTGATTTTAATAATTCTGATAGTCTTCGCATCTACAAATGAAACTATTAATCTGGAATTCACATAATTATGGTTGCAAGTTCCTGAGTTATCTCGAAACATATAGTTGGAAGTTACAAAGAAACCTAATAAATGCAGTCTAGACAACTGAAAATAATTCGATAGTGCACAAAGTCAATAAATTTCAAGAAAATGTGTTTTTGAAACATATTTCTTCATTGAAGTCAATTTTGCGTGAAAATTATATGATCAATGTGCTACAATCTTCTTAGATCTTTCTTCTAATCTCACTCTTCTGATGGAAGCTAACTTTAATCCTCCATTAACCTTCCCTAATTGAATATTTTTCCTTTTTTTTTTTGTCACCTTTTCAACTATGGGAGCACTTGGTAATAATTCTCCACGTCGAATTTTTTCAATCCACGGCCGCGCATCAGGACCTAAACCAAGTTTTCGCTTTCGTGGACGACTTGGAGGTGTGAAAAAGGGTTCACCGGCGCTACGCACTATTATGGCATCATCAGGAATATCTGCTGGTGGCCTTCGATTGCTGTAATAATAGAGATATCAATTAAAAATGATACAGGTGGAAATCAGAAGCAATATTAAAATCAAACATTTGGTATAATTGTGTCCTTTCAAAAAATTCATTTTTCAACTTCTAATATCTTTTTAACGTACAAAAAAGAGATAAGATGATTTAGTCATATCAATTTCTATTATATAATTTTATTATTACATGACTTTAGACAAGCCGAAGCTATCCATTTTTCCATAATTACAAAGATGAGTTAAGGTGGGAGAATATAAAGAAAGCATTCTTAAAATAACCGTTTTTAATGCAATCAAAATCGACAAATAATTTAAACTATAATCCCACATCTAAATTATAATCCCCATATGAGTAATATAGATCTTAGGTACAAGTCCCTACGCGAATTAGACTTTAGGGAAATTATGGGGCAAACTTCAATCTGCTGTAATCCTAATGTTCATTCAAATAAATTAGGAGAATTGGTTGTTTACCTTGCAAACGGCTTCCAGGCTTCTTCAAGTTCTTCCTTTGTTGAAACATGTGTTTTCAAATGTTTCTTTAAATTACCCTTAAGTCTGCATGTTTTGCCGCAGTAAGGACACGCATGAGGAGTGAACCCACTATGTACCGAGCGATGCTCAAATAAATTCGATTTAAACCGAAATGCTTTCCCGCAAATATCACAGCCAAACGGTTTTTGATCTGTATGAATTACAGCATGTTGTTGCAGGCCTAAAACTATCAGATTTGCACTCCTTTTTGAAGAAAATCATAGAAATTCTAAAGAACTGCATTGGTGAGCTTCGAATGATCAATGCACGCGCATAGTTCTCAAACTACCTATGTGGATCTCGAGACATATAATTATTTCCGAGACATATGATTCTCGAGACATATGATTTTTATGTGCACAACTTGCACAATTTAATTCTTCGTTCACAATTTTTAACTTCTAAAATACGGAATCTTTCTCGCATACCGGTGTAACTTCTATGGTGAACAAATAAATGAGGAAAATGAAAGCACTTAAAACAATTATTTCTTTACATCTATAAAAACCATTTATTAATTGTTCCAAATACTTTCACTTTAAGGATAATTAAAACTTTTAGAATTCATTAATGAAACCGAGAAATGGAAATTTATCAACTGATTCATTCTACAGTTATGAAAAATTGACAAGGAAAGAGTGGGGCGAAAATGTTTACCTTTAAACGAAACAAAAATTTTGTTGCATATATTACATTGATGTACAGCCCGTGGTTGGGTATGATGTGGAGTATCATCGTCGGTACCAAACTTGAAAAAAGACTACGTTAACAGTTTTAAATACATCATGTTAAAATAAATGTCAGAATTTTAGGAATAATCAAAATTCTAATATAACCAGTCAACCGAAACCCGCAGAATCGATACAGACTAAAATTCTTGCAGTGGTATGGAACTCAAACTTATTTCTTAACGAATACCCAAAGTTGTCATAGTTTGGAAGAATTTCAAAATTAGTGTAAAATGCAAAATGAATGCAAGAAGGAGTCTTATGAACTTGAATGCAGGTGGCAGAAACTCTAAAAAACTCATGTTAATTTTTGTCGTCCGATTAAATGAATACTGAAATTTACTTCATGTTCAGTAGCATATGTAGGATCGTGGAGATCATCATCCATTCGCCGTAAATCGTCATGCTCTGGATCTATCTGTTGATGATAAACAACCCCATCTGGTGTTACATGTCCTCCTGCCATGTCGTTGTGATGTAAAGCCATAACATGAACAGTACATCCAGATAATTCAAGATCACAGCGAATCCTTCCTTTTTTTTTCTTCCAATATACTCAACAAATTATTCTATGCTACTAGTACTTTTACCTGGAATGTCCTGAAAATTAAATTCGAATATTCTATGATAATACATGGCTGAGATGAAGTAATGACAACATGTAGTGACAACAAATGATTGTTGCGACTTTTCATACAGAATGATCCCTCTTCCCGAAAAACTGACTCATAATTTTCGAGCAATTCAGTTCTTTGAGTGACATATTGAACCTAACAGGAAAAACTTAGGAATACAAGAATAAGCCGTGCTATCTTGAAATGGGAAAGTAGTTGTGGCACCAAGAAAGAATATGACCCGAATTTGAAAAGATTAAGCATATCGTTGTTTGCAAAACTGCGAAAAAATAGTTAATTTCTCGCGAAGTATCATATTCATCAGCTTAAATTTATCAAAGTCTAGCAAAAACGAGATTAAATCATCACTAGGTAAGTGACTTTTCCGGGAAGCAAGTAAACCCAAAAAGTCATGATGATCAAGGTATTCAATCAAGGAAAAAATGTTAATTCTAATGTTTTTCTTAGTTCAACTTATCCCTTCGTCTATCATATCTTAAGATACATTCTGAATTATAATTTAGCTGCCTATGTTAAAATAGCGTTGATGCTAAATGTAGGTAGAATGGAACAAAAAAAAAAAAAAAAAAAACCGGACGTGAATCTTTATTCGAAAAATCCGAAATTTAAACGATAGCTACTTTCGAACATAAACTACAGAAAAAAAGTGTCTTCATTACAACTACTGCATACTACCACCAATCTAACATTGCATCGTAAATTAGAAAACCAAAAGTGGCACTTAAAATGCTTTCTAAATCAGCACTATTCAAATTAATTCTTTTGTTTTCTTATCACAACAAAAGCAAGGGTCAATAGTTAAACAATGAGTGTGTCTTAAAAATTCTGTAAAGAGCAGTCTGAAATGTAAATGTGTCTCATCATTGGTGGTAACGAAGAAGGATTTTGTTCGTTAGATCATATCTTCATAAAATGTTAAAGGTAGAAGAAAATTCAAAAAAAAAAAACTATACAGGCAAAGGAAATGGGAAAAGAAATGAGAAAACAAATGAAACACTACTAGAAGAATAATTTTAGTCCATAAAGAACAGAAATTTTGCGTCATTTGAAAAGAACAAGTAAAATACAGAAAGGGAAGTTTACAAATGACTTCACAAAATAAAATTATTTAGTTGCAACAAGTTGCTCAAAAAATAGTAAAAGCATACTTTTGCTGGATTTTTTCTATCTCGACTACAATTTCAATATAAGCTAATTGTTATTACAGATAAAGGAATAAGTATCCAGCAGTCCTATTTGACATTTCATTACAAGCAAAGGATGAGAGAATGAATATTCACTGATACGGTAAGTAGGGTACACTATTACAAAATCGTCAAAACATCACGATATTCACTTCAGTACACTCTTTGAGGGTAGCATCACTACAGATCAGACATTCTACACAATGTGTCCTCTTGTAGAACTGAAGATGTCCTCTTGTAATCATTTAACTTATCAAACAATAGACGGTGAAATGTAACAGAAGAAAGTGATATTCAAGAGGAATAAGCCGAGAACAACGACATTAGGAATGAAAGTATAATGAATATATAAATATGTCAATAATTTCTGCTAAAGTTTGTTATGCTTCATTTCTATCAAATATAAGTAAAAGGTCAAAGGACTGGCGAACTCATTAGGAAAGTTAATTTAAATGAATTTAAAGTAAAAAGTCACTCTTAACTGCTCATGTGAATGTCGCTGTGTTTTAAATGTTTAAATGCATATGTATGCAATATACATACTTTAAACTAACTACAAATAAATGGATGGCTTCTAGAGAGCAGATTAAGCTTTTTTGATTTTTATCAAATTAAACTTTTCACGGGATAGAAACGTCAAAATAAATTAAACAATTTAAAAATAACAAATGTAAAAAGAAAACTTTGAAAAAAGACAGTTTTACAGGAACCAAACAGATCAGTCATAAATTTGAAGGAAATAAAATTCCCGCGGTTACCACAACTCGGCAACAATGCATGAAAACTTTTCCAAGTCATACAACAAGATATATAGTTATTTTAAAGAATATCAAACATTTCACACATACATGCATGCATATACACCCACACACATACACACACGGGCATGTATGCATGTGAACATACATCCGCGTGCATACACAGACCAGCCATACACACACACACACACACACGTACACTAACTTGCATAAATGTATGGTAGATGTACATTGCACATACACACATACACATACGGGCATGTATGCATGTGAACATACATCCGCATGCTTACACAGACCAGCCACACACACACACACACGTACATTAACTTGCATAAATGTATGGTAGATGTACATTGCACATACACACATACACACACGGGCATGTATGCATGTGAACATACATCCGCGTGCATACACAGACCAGCCACACACACACACACACACACACACACACACATACATTAACTTGCATAAATGTATGGTAGATGTACACTGCACATACACACACACACACATACATACATCTATATATAATCCAATATATATGCATGTACGCAAAGGCATAATAAGCATGTGGACGTCCACAGACGTGAAGCACTCACGGAACATTCACACGCACGTGTGTGCATCCCACATGCACATCCATGCAGGTGACACACATATAAACATTCACTGACATACATTCACGCGGGTGGGACGATATGGTACCATACAGTATCGACCGGAGCACATACATACATACACCGACAGACACAGACACGACACTACGATAGGGCGACGGCCATGGAGACGGTAGGGAGAAGAGAAGGGAGCAGTGCGTCCTCATCGCTTCGCCACAACACACTATCACTCTCCGCTCCTCCACTTCCTCTTTGCTTCTCTACGAATGCTCTCTACTCGTGTCAGCACAGCATGGAACATCATTTCCTCTCAATGTCTCTGCTCTCATACAATCACGCACTTTCTTTTTTTCTCTGCTATCCTGCGTCATTGTTGTCGTAAAATACTCAATGGCTAGAGCAAACATATCAGAGTGTTATAGGAGGAAAAGGCGGTAATATGAATGTTTGGCTGCATGCCAATTCATTCTACTGTTGCTTTTGCGCCTTTCATCGTTGGCGGTTTTGTCCTGTTCATCTAACTTTAACTTAATTACGGGAATTTAATGAACTTTCTAGAAGAGTAGTATACATAATGCTTAATTTTTATTCTACTTGTTGCACTACACATAGTCTAATTGCGTTTTATTTAATTCTGAGTTATTCTGAATAAACTTTCAATAATTTATAGATTATTTAACGCCGATGCATTACTTGTAAATTCATCGTTTGCTGTTAATAAACTGATTGTAGGCATTTTGTCGAGTTGGAAACATTCAGATAAAACGGAACCGATGAATGGCATTTCAGGTGAATCGGCTAAAGAAGCGATTTGCTGTCCAGAACGTCATATTTTGTCCGTATTCGATCTTACAAAATGGTGCCGCTCAAAGGTTAATTCATTTATTTGTTTAATTCGAGCAATTTCTTACTTTTTTGTTCACCAGGGATGCAACTTTGATAGAATGCTATTCTTATTTCTCATTGTTCCGGAATAGTTTTCCACTTATTTAGAACTTTTTGAATACACATCCTGAAAAGAGTTGTGATAAGATTGTTTGTTCGTGTTTATGTAAATATAAATATTGACTACCAAGAACAAATTTGCTCAAGACAACGATAAAGTAAAGAAACAAACAGAGCAGTAATATGCTGTTTTAATTGATGAAACAATTTTCATGAGTAATTACAAAGCAAAAATTAATTACTGAGTAGAATATTAATTTAGTCAAAATTTTCAATCAATGCTCTGAGATGCTGTTTGTGGCGTAGACTATTCATATCTGTTACATGTTGAAAGTATTGAGATAGTAATTTAACAAATTCAAATACCTTTTGATGAGAGATCTTTAATATTCTACATCATCCCATATTTCATTATCTGCGGTTTTATGTGATAAGATATTTAGAGACTTTTCAGGCTTATATGGAATATATGGCAATGGTAAATGAACTGAATGATGCAGTGAAAGGTGTTATGTCAACGGAAGATATTCCTATCAGTCCAAAAGTTATGGATGCAATTGACATTTTGGACGATCTTCAGGTTTCTTATCCTTTTTTATTATCGATAGTAAATTTTAAAACGACATTTTGTAAAGAAGCATATTTTCTTTTGTTCTCTTACTGAGTAGCGTTCTACTTTTTTGCGATGTTGTATACATGCCTTACTTAAATCATTAATGATATTTATTATATTCTAATTTTTCTTGCCATCTTAACATCAGATTACACTGCTTGTCTTTATCACTGAAACGATTCTGCCAAAAACTCGATAACAAATATTCTTCAGATCAAATAATAATGATTATTTTTTAGAAATGGACACTTGAATATCCTCCAGAAGATATGGGAACACAGCGTTTCGGTAATGTTGCATTTCGTAAATGGTATGATCGTCTAACAGAGGTTTCGCATTTTCATGAATTTTCATTTATGAATTTAAGTAGTATTCATGCAGACAATTAATTTTTCGTTAAATTACTTAATTTTTGATTTGCTTTTTTAGGAAGCTGATGATATAATTTATGGCCTTTTGACTGCAGAAAAAAAAGGCTTCGTCGTAGAATTACTTCCATACTTTTTGAATTCATTCGGCAATGCAACGCGAATTGATTACGGATCAGGTTGCACACTTTTACTTTACATTGATTTTTCTGAATATTCTTTTTGAAAATTTACTTTATATCGAAATGATCTATGGTGATTAAAAAGACTGGTGGTTTTTCTTGATTTGTGTTTATTGTACAATGCATTCAAAAATCTTTTAGGACATGAAGCCTCCTTTCTAATATTTATGTTTTGTCTC